GTGGGAGAGGTCACAGCACACCGGCACAGGGAACCGTGACCCTGCAAGCCTCTGAACAATGAATACATAGACTAGCTCTCTGTATCCAGCGCTGAAACTTTGTCCAGCACAGCTACAGCACCTTATACACACAAAGCAACCCCTATTTTTTTCCCACTTTGGGTGTTATTGGGGGCCTCATGTTTGAGTTTCGTCTGAGGCCTCACAAAGTCTAGAGCCTCCACTGTTGAGCAATGGCAATAACACAGCATATCTACAAGGCCATAACCTATCATATGAATGTATGTTTTGTTGGTGTCTATAGTATTTCTTTAAAATAGAGGTGGCAGTAATAAAGTATCATTTCATATTTGTAAAAAAAAATGGCATATGTAAATATCACTACTAAATATTAATAGAAGATAGAAACTTATTCGCATGGGTTCACAGTAAATCTAGTTGGTTGGGTGCTAGTAAATCCAGCTGTGTGAATTTCTGAAATGGCAACATGTTCATCATTCCATCTTTTCAAGTTGATTTTATAGTGCTATAATACAGGGAGTGCAGAATTATTAGGCAAATTAGTATTTTGACCACATCATCCTCTTTATGCATGTTGTCTTACTCCAAGCTGTATAGGCTCGAAAGCCTACTACCAATTAAGCATATTAGGTGATGTGCATCTCTGTAATGAGAAGGGTGTGGTCTAATGACATCAACACCCTATATCAGGTGTGCATAATTATTAGGCCACTTCCTTTCCTTTGGCAAAATGGGTCAAAAGAAGGACTTGACAGGCTCAGAAAAGTCAAAAATAGTGAGATATCTTGCAGAGGGATGCAGCACTCTTAAATTGCAAAGCTTCTGAAGCGTGATCATCGAACAATCAAGCGTTTCATTCAAAATGGTCAACAGGGTCGCAAGAAGCGTGTGGAAAAACCAAGGCGCAAAATAACTGCCCATGAACTGAGAAAAGTCAAGCGTGCAGCTGCCACGATGCCACTTGCCACCAGTTTGGCCATATTTCAGAGCTGCAGCATCACTGGAGTGCCCAAAAGCACAAGGTGTGCAATACTCAGAGACATGGCCAAGGTAAGAAAGGCTGAAAGACGACCACCACTGAACAAGACACACAAGCTGAAGCGTCAAGACTGGGCCAAGAAATATCTCAAGACTGATTTTTCTAGGGTTTTATGGACTGATGAAATGAGAGTGAGTCTTGATGGGCCAGATGGATGGGCCCGTGGCTGGATTGGTAAAGGGCAGAGAGCTCCAGTCCGACTCAGACGCCAGCAAGGTGGAGGTGGAGTACTGGTTTGGGCTGGTATCATCAAATATGAGCTTGTGGGGCCTTTTCGGGTTGAGGATGGAGTCAAACTCAACTCCCAGTCCTACTGCCAGTTCCTGGAAGACACCTTCTTCAAGCAGTGGTACAGGAAGAAGTCTGCATCCTTCAAGAAAAACATGATTTTCATGCGGGACAATGCTCCATCACACGCGTCCAAGTACTCCACAGCGTGGCTGGCAAGAAAGGGTATAAAAGAAGAAAATCTAATGACATGGCCTCCTTGTTCACCTGATCTGAAACCCATTGAGAACCTGTGGTCCATCATCAAATGTGAGATTTACAAGGAGGGAAAACAGTACACCTCTCTGAACAGTGTCTGGGAGGCTGTGGTTGCTGCTGCGCGCAATGTTGATGGTGAACAGATCAAAACATTGACAGAATCCATGGATGGCAGGCTTTTGAGTGTCCTTGCAAAGAAAGGTGGCTATATTGGTCACTGATTTGTTTTTGTTTTGTTTTGAATGTCAGAAATGTATATTTGTGAATGTTGAGATGTTATATTGGTTTCACTGGTAATAATAAATAATTGAAATGGGTATATATTTGTTTTTTGTTAAGTTGCCTAATAATTATGCACAGTAATAGTCACCTGCACACACAGATATCCCCCTAACATAGCTATAACTAAAAACAAACTAAAAACTACTTCCAAAATATTCAGCTTTGATATTAATGAGTTTTTTGGGTTCATTGAGAACATGGTTGTTGTTCAATAATAAAATTAATCCTCAAAAATACAACTTGCCTAATAATTCTGCACTCCCTGTAATCTATTATAGCTCATTATGATGAGATGGCCTTGTATATGTTAAATGATATTACATGTTTTCCACTTTATTCTTAGATTGCTACTCTTTGTTTAAAGTTGCATTCATTTTCACCTCCAATCATTTTACATTGGTGATACATATTTTAATAGTTTTTTATTTCGCATTTTTTTTGTTTGTTTTTTTTCAAATAGGTTTTATTACACTTTGTTTTTCAAAATGTTAAAAAATAAAAATTGTAGGAAAAATAAACTAAGGAAAGGGATGCAGAAGAATAAAAATGGGCAAAGAGGAAACATGTTTCTCCTTGCACAACAATATATATATATAATAATATTTATTTTGCTAAAACTTTTAAAATATCCTGCACAATGCAAGGAACAAAAGTGAAAAAAAAAATACATATTTTGCTATAGCTTATTATCATTAACATTTTTGCTGCTTTAACATTCATTAGTCCCTTTATTGGCAGTGTTACATATATCACTGAACAGAATAGGTACCTTACTACTTATTACTTTGTAATGTTGCAAGCACACAGTTACTCATAATTACTGTGCTGCTTTCCAGATGGAACAGAGTATCCCTTGTGTGCTATTATACCAACTTCCTGTTAACATTGTACCCAATCGGACAATAGAGTCTGTTTATTGTTTTCTCAGAAGTCTGGGAATTTAGCCAAAATATGTGTCTACCACCTATTGTGTTCTTCTGTTCTTCTATTTTTTTTTTATTAAGAAATAAAATGTATTCTAATCCTTTTATTTTATTGTTTGAGAAAAATTATATTAGAAAAATATATTTGTGTTTGTTTATCATAACCACTTTTTATCTCATTGTATTTTTCTCAATTCATAAATTGAATAACAACTTGTACCACGAATAATGAATACTTTTTTTTAAGTTTTTGCAGTTCATCTAATAACAGTGCATTGAAAGGCCAACAGTCCATTTCTGCTTGAAGAACAGTGTCATGATTCTTACAACCAATGGGATAATGTGTATTTTTTAACATATAAAAAGTACAGTGAATGCTCAACTCCAGTTGGTAACCCCCACGTGTTATTAACATGCACTATTAAAAGTAGGATGCTACAAAGTGGTAAATAAATCTTGTTACCACATCAATATCAAATAATCAGATTGAAGTAACCCACCACACACCATTTCATGCAAGCATATTTATTTGAATATATACAATATATCATGTCATTAATATACAACTTCTGTCTATTAATATATAAAAATATATATTTTTTATATTCTTTAATTCTGTAGTGTGTAGCATAACAGATATAAATAATAAGACATTTCTGAAGGACAAACATGTCAAAATAATAGATAATCATATCAGTAAATGTCAAGGGAACCACACTTTTAAAGCCGTTGCGGCGGCATAGAACACCGTAACAGCTTAAGCCCCCAGGATCTCGGCGGTACTCACCTCCGCCGCGATCCTCTTCTGGAGGGCTGTCTGACAGCTCAGGCAGCCCTCCCCCGGCAAGTGAGGCCCCCGGGGGCTATGTGATCACTCTCAAATAGTGATCACATGGCCCCCTATAGCTGGCTGTGGAACTGCCAGCAGGGGGACTGTCTGAAATGTCAGACAGTCCCCCTGCTGTTGGGAAGTAATAAAAAAAAAAAAATTAAACAAGTTTAAAAATTAATTTAAAATATTTTTATATATAATATATTTATATCTATTATATGTATAATATATATATATATTACATATATGTAACGTCATACATAGTGTATTTTAATACTAATATTAGTATATATATTAATATTAAAATACACTTAGAATGACGTTACATATATATAATATGTATATATATATTATATATATAATAGATATATACACATATATTATATATATATATATATATATATATATATATATATAATTACAATATTAAATAAATAAAAATATAAAATAAATAATTTAAATATTGAAACAAAATTTAATATAAATTATATATTCACATGTAATTTCATTCTATCTGTATTTTGTTAATAATATATATATATATATATATATATTAGTAACAAAATACACTTAGAATGACATTCTATATATATCTATCTATATATAATACACAAATAACCGCAAATATATATATATATATTTGTGGTCAGGGAAGAAGGCCGTATTTATGTGGACCTATACCTCTAATCATTAGTCTAATATACTAAGTCGGTTGTAGTGTGCCGAAACCGACGAACGGGTCAACCTGTAAATAAAGAGGGCCAACCAATTAATTGATTCCTTTTGTGGAGTGGTGGGTGGGGCAACAGGAAGTGACCAAGCACTGTCAGCAAGGTATGGAGGTAAGTAGTGGGTTTATATAGGCCGGTTGCAACCCCTCCCACAACACCAGGCTCCGCCTTCCCATTTGTGGTCAGGGAAGAAGGCCGTATTTATGTGGACCTATACCTCTAATCATTAGTCTAATATACTAAGTCGGTTGTAGTGTGCCGAAACCGACGAACGGGTCAGCCAGTAAATAAAGAGGGCAAAAGAGAAGTATCAGTTCCACACTTAATACGTATACACATACATTATTACCCGAGCTTCCCTACTTTGCCAATTGTTTAAAAGCTTGTCTCAACTCTTTCTCAGGTTGAGGTATGTAACGGTAATATGAACTGGTACGTTTGGCTGGAGGTTGATGTTGCCGCTCCGATACGAAAGGAGTGGCCTGTATATGCCGTGGGATCGTACCCGATTCTTGTACATAATAATCTCACGTATTTGACGAATTTTGATGTAGTCAGGGGTTGACTGTGTATTGTGAGGAGAGGAGCTTGTTTGGGTTGATAAGCCATACCTGCCATGTATTTGTCGAATAGTTGTACGGGGCACCAATGATTGCCGGTTGGGTAAAATTGAATGTCAAGGCGCGGACCCATTTGATTCGTTTGAATGTCTTAATGTCAATGTGTAGTGATCACCTATTATGTTTATGTGTGACACACACAGTATATTTCCCTTATTGTTGATGTTGCTTAAGGTGAGTTCGTTGGGACGCATAAAATGCCAGGTATATGGCTGTTTTGAGTGTGTTATTGGTGTGATTATCAAAGGGTTTGGTATCTAACATGTCAGACAATGCCCTGAATTTCTCTGCGACAATTGGTAGCCATCTAGTAGGTTTTAGGTTTTCTAGGCGTTGGATGCCTTTTAGCATATTTTAATGGGGTGTGCTGATAGGAAGTTTTTTATACTGGAATATGTGTTGCTTACATGATGCTGTATTCCAGTTAAATAGAGTTTTATGGTGTTGTGTGCCAGTTTCAAGTTGAGATGGCAAAAAGGTGAAAGCCACCATAGTATCTAACCTATAAGGATTCGTAATGATGTATTCTGAAACAAATTTGTTGAATAACATTAAGGCTCGGTTGTACATGCGTCTGGTGTTTGGGGAAAGTGAGGCCTGTGCTAGTGCCCTCCCGTGCTCCATGAGTAATTTTAGTCCAGGATGAGGTCTCTGAACAGCAGCGCCTTTCTTGGCTGTTCCTCTGCTGTTGGGTGTAGCTGTCTGAAAACCTGTAATTTTGAACAGGATAGTGTGTCAGCTGCTGAATTATGGTGACCTGGCACGTGTATGCAAGTCAGGAAAAAAAAAAAAATTTTTGTGGCTGCCAACCATGTGAGTCTCCTGACCAGGTTCATGATGGTTAGTGAAGAAGACCTGCCTTTGTTCAGAATCTCGCAAGCCGCCATGTGGTCAGAGTAGCATTTGACAGCTTTGCCTCCCCATAAGTGGCCCCAGACTTTAGCTGCTGCCACTATGGGGTAGATCTCAAACAGTGCCGAAGTCTTTGTGAAAGCGGGTATTCCTAGTGCTTCGCTAGGCCAAGCGTCCCTCAACCATCCGTCTTCGAAGATGGCTGCGAAACCTGCGTAACCTGCAGCATCCGTCCATAACACAGGGGAGTTTAATGTCAACGGTGGTATGAACAAGTTTCTCCCATTCCAGTCCGACAGGAAATGGTACCACCTGGTCAGATGAGCCCTAGCCTGAATGTTCAGTGTAACCCTGCTGTTGTTGTTGGGTAAGTTGGGTAACAAACCGAGTAGACGTGAGATGAAAGCTCGTCTCATGGCGAAGTTGTTGATGATATGCCATGTGCTTAGTTGTCTGAGTAACAATGGATTGATGACCCTGACCATGATTTACCCCATTCCACGGGAGCTGCTTTTAGTGGGGAAAGAATTGCCTATTTTTATGCCATGTAAGTGCCAGTGTGTAGGGTAGATGGTAGCCATTTACTGTGTTGATAATATTGGTCTTACTTAACCAAGCTTCAACCCATGCTTGAGTGATAGCTGTAAAGGTAGATCAATGGTGTGTATAGTAAGGAAACTCTTCGGAGGGTATGAGGGAGTTGAGACTTGGGGTAGCGAAGGTGTGTGGTGCCAATAAGTCTATGGTTAGTCTTTGTTTAAGGGAAGATTCCCTTGTGACAATACCAATGTGTTTGTGTTTGGCGCCATGCTGTAAATGGTGGAGATTGGAAAACCCAAGTAAAAACCCCTCTGTTATTCTTGGCTATGAGTGTGTTTACAGCCGATGGTTCTGTGTGCTGACTGTAAGTGAGGACATACTATATTCCTTGAAGGTGTATGTATGATACCTGTATGGGAGCCCTTTGAAGCTCCGGAGCTTTAGTAAATCTACTACAAGTCTGGAAGGGTGATGAGTTAGTAGTGTTGAAAATGGATTGGTGTGTACAGATGGTGAGTACGTTATTTGTAAGTTGTATTGGGACACATGGTTTGTCATGTGCCCTGAATAATTTGAACGTATATGCAACATTCTATATGCAATGCAACGACTCGTACCAATTGTCTCTGGTAGTTCAGAGGTGCTGGTACCTGGAGCCTGAGAGTGCTCGTCCATTTGTTTGGGAGAAAATCCCTTCTGTATGGGTACCTGCACAAATAAGCATCTCTACATATTCAAAATGCCAACACAACCAAGGGATGGTCTGTTCCCGATTTACCTGGAATCTCTGGGTCTGACCATCATAGATACAGCATCATACATATTTATGCCTTGTTTCCCCAATGTACCGGGATCATGTGTGCAGGGTTAACGTCTTGTACCAAGAATTGATTGTACCCGGTAACCGAATTTCGTCTGTCTTAAATTTTTTGGCTCATGAGTTTGAGTGAGGCTAGCATGGCCTAGGTTTCACCTTAGTTGGTGTTGCTGGGCCTTCCCCTGTCTCCGTTTTATCCGTTAATGTATGGAGGAGTTTGAATAACGCTGCGTTCGTTGCTGTGGCAGGGTAGGGGATTTGTCGCCTCCTTAGGTTGGAGCCATATCTCCTCTGCTTGAAGGTGTATCAAGGGGAAGGGGAGTGACAGGTGACGCCCTCATTATGATACAATGCGAGACGGCTAGCTCACGAGTGGCCCGAGGGGTGTATGCCTCAGAGTGTGAGGCGGGGTGTTGGCCTCGTGGGACCACTAAATGAAGCGTAAAGCAGAGAAAACAGGGGGTAATACCTATTGGGCCATAAAACCCTAATTGCCATTACATTACTACTATTCCAGGGAAGGTAAGAGATGAAAGTGTATCACTTCTAGCCGGGGTGCTAGGAAGAGGAGATTCTTTACCATCTTTTGGGGAAATACTTAAATAACAATAAAGATTGCAATTATATATTTGTACCCAGGCTCTTGTACTGGCTTGCTAGCTAAGCCGTAAGGCGAAACGATTAGGCTTGGTGTTTTTTGGTGACTGGTGAGGCCCTGCTAGTTGCCAAGTGGCTTGAGAGGCTCTATCTATGCTTGGCGCGAGGGGATTTTTTGTGGCCACCGAACGCTGTGGCAGGCAGGATGTTGGCCTCTCGGTGACAGTAACCAGAAAAATAGGAAGGGGAGTGACAGGTGAGGCCCTCTCTATGATACAATGCGAGGCGGCTAGCTCACGAGTGGCCCGAGGGGTGTATGCCTCCGAGTGTGAGGCGGGGTGTTGGCCTCGCGGGACCACTAACCGAAGCATAATGCAGAGAAAAAAGGGGGTAATACCTATTGGGCCCTAGAACCCTAATTGCCAGTACACTATTACTATTCCAGGGAAGGTAAGAGATGGATAACTACGTGAGCAGGTGTACGTACCTGGTAGTATGGTATTGAACCTGACAATCCGTATAGGTTTTTTAGTAGTAACTGTAACCTGAATGGATAAAATCGTATGGCATAAGGAAAAATGGCATAGACCAAGCTTATCTTAAAACATACAGTATATGTGAAAAGTAAAGTGCCGTGACATGTAAATATTAATCATCATAGCCATACTGGTTAAATATGTATCAATCTTAACCCATTAAGTGCCGTATGTACAAGTGAAAAGTGGTCTGTTCCCACCTTGGATGTTGTATGTCCCATTGCTAGGGGAAAGTCTGTTGTGTGAGCAGTGCTATGAAAAATGTATGTGAACTATATTACCAGTTACGTATATACAGATGCGTGTGCTACTTTGTAATAATATGTGTATTTATACTACTTGCTCTGTGAATTGTTGTATGCCTTATTGAATGGTAGGGGTCAGTGAACATGGTGTTGCAAAATGCAAGTGTACTGGAGAACTGCTGAGTGCCCTATAGGTGGTAGTGTAGTTGATGCTGATTGGTATGTGAAATGTTGTTTATCTGTTGACCTATAGGGGTCAGTGTTTTTGGTGTCTGTAAAACCCCATGAAAATTGTCAATGTACTTGACAGACCTGCAGGTGGCAGTGTTGATAGAACCACTGTTAGTCTTGATGTGAAAGACAAATTGTTGAGCCAGTGCTGGAGTTTAATTTATGGTTAGGTTTAAAACAATCTTATGTGTAATTGATATTGGCTAGTAATTGTATATGACATGTGAAGACAGTTTTGATGTTGACCAGTAGGGTTCAGAAATGCTGATTGTATGGTAAAATACCCTTTAACCCCCTTCAGGATACATGAATCCCTTTTATTCCAGAGTTTGGTCCTTAAGGGGTTAATCCAAATGCAAGGTTAACATGAGATTTTGAGAGTGACCTGTAGGGGTCAGTGTGGTTTACATGAAACATTGTTCGTGAGCTATGCCCCAGCATTATAGTTGTATGACAGGGAAACAAACAGTGCCCGTTTGACAATATACAATATGTGAACATAATAGCTTAATAACAGTCATTGTAACAAACCAAAGTTCCGTTAGTGGGTTGTAAACACACAAAACGTGTGTGTAGTACAGTAGTAAATGCATGAACTAGTTCCCGTACCGTGAGCCTGGCATGTCAGGGAAACCAAACGAAACGAGCAGTGAGATTTGAAATGCACGCACAGAATTGCCTAGTATGTTTAGGTAATTGAAACAGAATGTGTTCCCGTTTGGGAGTATGCTAAAGCTCAAAATGAGCCAGTGACAGATATAAAAAAGTGAATTTAAACGAATGATATGCATGAACATGCAATGGTTTTAGGAAAGATTTAGACAAAATGCAGCCGTAAAGTGAGGACCTGACCCGTGCAACTGATGCCTGGCGTAACGGGTAGGTCGACTTACGGTTTGTGAGCCACTTGGACACCATCCACAGCGATAGATTGAAGAAAAAGCTGGTAGGCCGGAAAAGCCTGTGGCTGGATTTCTGACACAGCTCAGCTTAGAAAACCTCATGGAGTAATCAGGTAAAATGGCGTCTGGATGACCCGCAAGTGGAAATCATTCTGATGCTGACCTCAAGCGATATGAGTCAGGTAAGGGGTGTCCCTTATATAAGGGAGTGAATTAATTTAAGCCCCTCCCACAAATACAGGCCAAACAGCCTTAAAACATATATATATATATATATATATATATATATATATATATATATATATATATATATATATATATATATATATATAGATAGATAAATACATATAATTACATAAAAGATTACATTAGTATACACGTAGAATTTAAATACCTATAAATGCATATATATTAAAATTATACGTGTATATTTAAGTAATCTTGTAACATAATTATGTGATTTGATTAATTAAAATTTGATTGACATGCCTGACAACACAGGGAGAAAGTGCAGAGAATTTAATTCGCAAGCACTATATTTGACCCTGTAACTCTCCAAGACACCATAAAACCTGTACATAGGGGTACTGTTTTACTCGGGAGACTTCGCTGAACTCAAATATTAGTGTTTAAAACTGGTAAATTGTATTACAACGATGATATTTTAAGTAAAAGTGAAGTTTTTTGCATTTTTTACAAACGAACGTCATGTTTATGGACTATATTATTGTTGTAATATGTTTTACT